TTTATTATTAATAATAATTTATTTCTATAGAAAATAAATTAATCGATAATTGGAAAGATATTCTTATAAATGAAGAAAATTTCGAATATAATGATAACTATTTAGATGAAAATGAGATTTATCAACATTAGATGATGATTCTACAATAATAGCTGATACTGAAAGTACTACTAGTGATGCAGAAATTTTACAATTTAAGTGGGATAAAATAGCTTTTAAACAAGCTCAAGAATTATTTAATATAGATAATAACGAAGTTAATAGTAAAATAGATTAGAATAATATTGAAGACATTTTAGATACTAAATCAATTATAACAAAATCAATAGATGGAGAAAGTAATTATCAGATCGAAAATAGTTTTAATATTAATGATATATTAACATCATGTATTGTTTTAGATATAATTGATAGTTTAATACAATACTGTTCTGAAAAAGCATCAAATCAACATCCTTTAACTCAACTAATAGGTACTTGGGAAATTAATGAAAAGATTTTTATAAATATGAAGGCAGAAAATAAATTACATACATTGGGAGTATGTGCATCTCATTTTTATTTCGATCAAAATATACTTCACATACCAAAAATAAAAAAGGAGCGATCTATTGAACAAAGCTAGATATATCATCGTTGTTGTCTATTTTGTAATAAATATAAATATTTTTTTAGCTATGGAAATAACTGTATATAGCATTCAGTATGTATAATTGGTAAAAATATACAAGTACCTTGTATTGGATGTAAAATTTGTCCTATTTTTAAAGAAATTGATACATAAAATAATATTATTAGTAAATCGAATAATGAATTTCGTTCTCGTTATATTTGTTCAAAATGTTTTAATATAGAAGGTGGACATTTTTTTGAAAGGTAAGGCAGTGGAAAAAAGCTATTTTCATGTGAAAATAAGCATAAAGATGATACAACTAAAGCACTTGAACTATTAGGACAATGGATTTTAAATGTAGCAGCATCAGAAGAAATCAAGCCAAAAGAAGAATTATTAATAAAATTAAATCCAGTATTAACATTGTTTAATCAATCAATATCTAAACAATCAATATCGCAAGTACAAAATAATTTACAATACCCTTCAAGTTTATTTCTTATAAAAATTGCTTTACGAGTTGGAAAAGTTGATTATATAAAATTAATTAATAAAAGTTATAATTTTATATCAAAGACTTCAAAAATAGCTGGGGAAACATTCGGTAATATTATAGTAAAATCACAAAATGAAATATATGAAAAACAACATATTATTAAAAATCCAAATTCATTAAATCAATATCGAAATAGTTTTCCATATTTTTTATTAAATTTTTTTGATACACTTATAATTACATTAGAAAAAAAGAAACATGATATAATAAATAAAAAAAGAAAACAAAGAAATCAAAATGAAAAGATTTTTGATATAAGTTTTGCAGAAAAAAAATTAATATTTCTTATTTCTATTATATCAACAATTGCATTTCCCAGTCTTAATATTTGGCTTACATATATTATGAGTTCTCTTTGTAAAAAACCTAAATTAATAACATCATTATATACTATTCTTCATATAGCAAATATAATATCACATACATAATATCATGAAAAACGATTAGAAAAAGATAGAATGAATAAAGTAAATCCAAAAAATAGATTACTTCAAGGAGAAAATATTTGGAACATTTCAGTTGTTGATAATATTGATTTTAAAGAACAAACATTTAAATATGGTAATATTTTTGATACAACACATGATTCTTCTCATGCTATTTCACGTATGGTATTTCAATTTCTTTTACCAATACCATTAAAATATATTAATAATAATAATAATAATAATTACAATAATAATAATTTATTTGGTAAATCAGAATTTACTAATAATTTATTAGAAAATTATGAAAATAGTTTTAATAAACTTTTACAAATATATTTAGATAGTTGGGATATAAATAATTTATATGATGAAATTACAAAAAATATAGAAATAGAATGTAAAATTCTACCACCAAATGTAGTTATTCTTGAACCAGATGAAAATCCAAATTGTGATATTAATGTTCATAATGCATGTGAAATGTATTTTGATGATGTAGGAATATTAAATAGTAATAATTTAGATATTGGTTGTGATGAAGTAATATTTAGATGATTAATTTCATATCGCGAAAAAAAAGATAATATAAGATTACTGTTAGGTCAATGGCATACATCAAAAGATATGTATAGTGCTTTAATTACAATTTTTTCAGGATATGGCATTTTTAATTTAGCAGCAAATTTAGGAGTTAAATATTTAGATAAGTTAGAAAAAGTAGTCGATTATTCAGCTACTTGTCGTATTTTAGAGTTAATTTGGGTAGCAATTGGTATATCAATAAATAAATATTTAAAAAATAGAAATAAAATTATAAAAGATATTGAAAGTGAAAATAATAATATATTGAAAGTATGGTATTATTATTTTTGTTGAGCTGGATATTGGTTTGAACATAAAATAGGAATTAGAAAAGGAAATTATGATATGCAATTTAAAAATTTAGTAACATTTGCACCACTTTTCGCAGTTGCTGAAAAAAGTAATTATGCAAGATCAGTAACACATTTTTTATCTTATATTAATAATGATTTATCTTTACAAAAGCTTCTTCAATATGTTTGTGCAGTTAATCTTACTCGTCTTGGACATTATTTTGCATTTGATGAAGCATTAAAATGATTTGAAGTAAAATTTGTAAAATAAAACATTAGCGGAAATCATATAGATAGTAAGGATTTAAAATTACAAATATCATCTGTACAAGCTGAAAGAGACCGTCTTACATTATTATTATCAGAATATGTTGGAAATGCAATTTCAATTAAAGGAGAACGAGCAATAAAATCTCGAAAAGAAGTTTTATGAAAACTTGTTGAAGATTTAACAATAGCATTTAATTTGCCAAATCCTTTAACATATGAATTATTTTGCAATACAAAGGAAAATAATGAAGAAGAATTTAAACGGTTATTTGTTTGTTATGATCATAGTATTAAACGACTTAATGTAATTCTACGTCAAGATGTTTATAAATCAGAAATAAGAAATATAAAAGGTTGTTGTGCACGTAATATTATAGCACATAAATCACAAAATTTACAATTAGAAAAAAATAAAGGAAAATCAAAATCTTTAAAAGAAGAA